GTCCGCCTGCCACTTGAGCCAGCACTCGCCGTGCGTGTGTGTATTGCCGTTGTCGAGGCTCCAGCAGTGCGGCAGGTAGCAAAAGCTCCACGAGTTGCACGGCCTCCGCGTATTCTTTGCGGCGTGCGCCATGCAGCGCTGGCAGCACTCGGCCGCCGACCGGACCCGATGCTCCGGCGCCGAGCCCCACGCCACCGCCTCACCGGCCGGGTTGCTGTGGGGCTCTTCGCCGCACTCGGTCGGCGTCGTGATGCCGGGGCAGTCGCCAGGGCACGACGCGATCGTCTCGGCCGCCTCGCACACTCCGTCGCCGCAGGTCGGGCTCCGCGGTGTGGCGATTTCGATTTCGAGACTGCGGGCAGGCGCATAGGTGGCGGTATCCCGGCGGGCGGCGGCGGCTGGCCGAGCTCGGCCAAGGATATGGACAGTGAGCAGAGTGGCGAGCGCGACGGCGATGAGGATCGTGGGGACGTGAGCAAGCATTGTGGGAGGCAAACTCTTTTCTGCCGGGTATGCCGGGTCCAGGGTGTGTGTCGGTCGCACAAGCACACACTTCTGCCAGAAAGGCAGAAAAGAAATAAGACCTCGCTCACAGGCTTGTTCTCTGTTTTCTTTCTTTTCTTTTAGGCTCGACACAGGTGCGAACTGGCGCGTGCTAGCACTATCACAGGCACACCACTGGAGCCGCCTAAGCGACTCCGTTAAGAACGGCAATGGCAGAAAAGAACGGGATCGCCGAGCTGGGAATAGGACCGCAGCCCCGGCACGGTAGACCCGGCTAGTGAGAAGGGCTGCAAGACCGTCATAAGCGAGGCCCACGGCGATCGACCAGAGGAATAACGTGAACTCGATCGTAGTGTAGGCCCAGCCCATCAGAGAATCGAGGCCACTGGCCTCTGCTCCCGCCTGGGATCGCCCATTGCGACCCAGAGCTAAGAGAGACATCGCGAAAACCGCGCCAATAAGTTGCTGCCGATAAGTTCGCCCAACGGCGGCGCGGCGTGCAATAATTGCAAATAGGAAACCGCGCCAGACCGGCGGCGCCGAAGTGGAACGGCGCCTCGCACGGCGGACACCAGCAATATTAATAATTGACTTGAGCCGCCATGGTAGGACGCCGCCCTGAATGATGACGGCAAAGCAACCCGAATAATAATAGCCATTGCTCCCTCAG